AGAGGGAGAGGAGAGGGAGGAGGTTGGTGAAAGATGGCCGCTGGACATGGCTTCTCACAGCCGGCTGGCCCCGACCCCCCGTGATCTGCCCTCTTATCTAGCCCAGATCCTGGCCTTTCATCTGGGCTAAAACCTGGGGGAGCTTGGCCTCTGCTGGGTTTTTATCCCTCACACACACACACACACACACACACACTTCATTCCAGACCCCCTCCATCTCCAGGCTCTATCTTTGAGTCCCAGATGAGCGTCGCTCTCACCTACAAGGCAGATAACAAACCTCACACCACTCTGCTCTCTGCTCTACTTTCCTCAAAAGACTTTTTTTTCAAACTCACTACAAGAGAAAAAGAAACTACCTCCCTTTCCTTTTTTTATACTGTCAACAAACTCTATCTACAGACTGACATTCTCACATGTGAATATTTTTTAATAGCCTAACCTTTTTAACAACAGGTTAGGTTGTCTTGTGTTTGAGTTCTGTCTGCAGTCTGCATAGACTGGGAGCAAAATGCTGGACTCTGGACTTTTAAGAGTAGCTGGCTAAAAGCAAGACTGAATGGAATCAGAGAATGCATCAGGGATGCTACCAAAACACAGCACTCTCCATGTTTTGACATGTCACAGAGCAGCGCTTTCACCTCTCACTAAATTGCATTACCGTCCAGCAATAGGCAGGTTGTTTTGGCTGGTCAACCCATCGGCCTTGGCTAGACCACCTCTACATGTGACCAAGGTCCAGTTTTTCTGTGTGTGTGTGTGTGTGTGTGTAGCTTGTGCAGTCCACATCATACTATTTCATTCCATTCCAGGTGGATGGCTGGCCTGTCCCTACACTGCCCTCCTGCTCAACCCTGACCTGGTTCCAGCATAAACACCAGACCCTCACCTCTCACCCCTCTGGCTTTACCTGATAATCTGTCTCTTTCTCCCTCAGTCTCCCACATTCTCTCCAGAAACCAGGTTTTTGCATCACCCTAGCCCTGACCTCCGACCCCAGTCAGATTAGAGTGGTTGGCGTTTCAAATCCAGCAGCAAATTGAGTAGCATCTGTGACCTCCCTGTACATTTCTCCCTTTGCCCCGCTGTGCTATACCCCCTAGGAGTCAAGACAAGGTCGGTCAGATCTCACAAACAGTTAGACGTAGGTTGGCAGTTGAGGGCATTTGCAGGCACTGAAACAATACCGTAGTTAATGGGCTAATGCCCAGGTGAGGCAGTAGCTCTGGAAAGTACTCGGACCCCATCACTTTTGGCAAGCTTTATTGCGATTTCAATTTAATACATTAAAATATAGTTTATTTTCCCATGAGTCTACACACTATACCCCATATTTACAGTAAAAATATGTTTGAGAAATGTTTTCAAATTCATTAAAAATCAAAACAAGACATCTCTCTTACATACACATGTAGTGTATTTGCTATGGCACTCTAAACTAAGTTAGGTATACCTTGTTTTCTTTTATTATCCTGAAGATACCTTATCTCTAGATACTGTAGAACTTAACTTAGGAGATTAATTCAATTGATTTGGCATGATTTGGTAAGGTCCAGTGCTTGTTGGACCAAAAACCAGGTCATGAAGGAACTCTCCATAGACCTGTGCAATCAAATTGTGTTGAGGCATTTATTTTAGCATGGGTATAAAACCAACTCGACTGTGACTGTTTCTTGGAGCACATGAATGTGGAACTACCGAAACTGTTCCTTGAGTCCAGAGAAGAGAGCTGGCTGTGCAGCCAAACCCAGTAATCAGGCAAGAAGGGCCTTGGACACGGAGGTGACCAAGAACAACTCTGGACACTGAAACAGTGTTTCAGGGGTCCTTTACAAAGATGGGAGAAACCTGCCAGAAGGACAACCATCTCAGAAACACTTAGACAATCAGGCTCTTATGATTGAGTGGCTACATAGAAGCCACTACTGAGTAAAAGATATATAACAGCACGCCGGGACTTTACATTCAAAGGACTCTGAGAGCATTAGGAAAAGGATCCCCTAGTCTGATGAGACAAAAATTCTAAGCGGAAGGTCTACTGTTTCCAAATCACATCTCATGGTGTCCAACTTAAAGAATGAAACATTTGACCTGAACAAGCCAGGTATTGCTAATCACTGTACTTATGACGATGCAATGGGGGTGGCAGCATCAAGCAACAAATGAAGGCATCTGAAAACTTTCCAAGCCACTGTCATTTGTGTAGCATTGACAAATACTGAAAATGTCTCTTTATATTTCCTTAACTTGAGATTTTTTCCCCCCTGTAGGCTGTTAGTTTCTATGAAATAAACAACTGTCCCTATATTGAAAATCAAAATACCACTTGAAGGGAATTAATAGAGTAGTAGCACTGTCTTGATACAATTCTAGCCTTTGTTTTTTGTCTCTGCCTTTTGAACACAGTGTCTCTGCTGTTCTCCCAGCTGAGTCTAGCTCATCATGATCAGATACAGGTTTACAGGTCTGGCTATTAAGCAGCTGTAGCTGTTTTCTTCCAGTCAGTTTGTCTCTTTCCTCTGCCTCTCACAGCACTTGAATGCCACAAGAACCACCTCAGGAGAATAGAGAATGATGATGACACGGCAAGTTGACCATCACTGGTACATCCACAAGCCTTCTCTTCCTCTCTCCTCTCTAGTCTACCCTTCTTGTCTACCCTCTTGTTGTTATGCAGATGGAAGAATTCTGAAAGGAGCATCTCAAAATGTGAAGCAAAGTGTTAGCAGAGAGGGCTCCCATACTGTAGAGAGGAATAATGGAGAGAGGATGGAAGGACAGAAATGGGTAGCCTTGAGTGCTTTTTCAAATACCGTAATTATATTGGTTGGCCCACACCAGTAAAAGAGACTTTGTCATTCCCTCGTTCTGTATAGTGAATAACTGTGATGATAAAGCCTCAGGCCACATCTACACACTCACCTGTTGTATCAGCGTACTTCCTGTAGTAGAGCTCAGTGAGTGAGAGCTAAACCGGTAGCCTCTAGGGATTAGTACAAAGCTGTACTACAAAAATACCAGCTGTTGTAGGATCAGTTATAGATACACTTGGTCTTAGCAGCTTTTTTTTGCCATTGTACATATCTCTCTATTGTAAATTTGATATACTTATAAGAACAGTGCATGATAGAAACATCAGTGTACATAATCAAGTTAGATGTTGGATCACCTAGCAAAATTGGTGGGACTGGCTTTGTGTTTAAAAATCTATTACCTTTTTAGGATTATGATGAATTCAATGTGGTCTTAGATAATATCAAATGCATTGATTTTCTTCAAAGATCAAACATGATATCCCCCTACAATGATCATACTGCTCCAGTACTTTTCCTACTTTTCCAGGTGGAATGAGACAAACCGAATAGTAAAGCTGAACTTGTTTTTGCATGGAGTTCCTTGTTGTCAGGTGATGTCTGCTGAATCATCTGTAACAAAAGGATTATAGGCCTGTTGGCTGCTTCTCCAGCTGTTGACACACACCTTTCTTTCCCCCTCATGCCCAACTGTAAACTTTCACATGGTAGAAATAATTGCCAAACGTCGCCTCTATCCCGTTCTTTCGCTTTCTATAGCCACATAAAATGCCCAGAGGAACACGCATCCCACGGTTTTATTCCACTCACTTTTCAGCCAAAGTCACAGTCAAACTGGAGTCAACTATCCACACAGAGAAGGAATATCTCCAGTTTTATGGAGTCGTAATGCGGTAGGGGTACTGTATAAATAATCTCTGCGCAGAAACACTTCCAGCTGTTAAACAATATGCCCTTTGCAGTTTTTCTTTTCTTCTCTTTCTTTTTGAATGTAGAAAGCGTCCTGCCCAGACTGCTTTGAAAATGAATACTGAGGTTTTTTGTCTTGAGAAATGATGTTGTTTAATGTTTGCCTTTAGTGACACCTCCAGATTGTTGCACTTTATGCTGATTAGTATTACAGAGTGGAGTTGGAACTCTGCCTGTATCAAACGTTGCTATTGAAAGTCAGTTCATAATGTGAAATTCAAACCTCAGAGTCTGTTTACAATTAGGCCCTTTGAAGCATTCCACTGTAATCTCTCCCTCCTTTTGATATAAAGATACAGTATTGATATAAATGAAGGGAATTTTGCCTTTGTTTTTAAAGCCATACCTGTGGCTTTTGATTGATGGATGGAAACTGTACGGCAGATTTAGATAATATAGACTTGTTTAAAACCTCACTCTGAGGTTATAGTTTCCCCATAGACTTCAGCAGTATTTTGTATCAACAGTCAGAAGGGCGATCCACAGAGTGAAACGGCCTTATCCCCAACTGAATAACCATGAAACGTTGTTTGTGTACAAGGGAAGGTAAAGTAAATCCAGGGCTTTTTTCAGGGGCATCCTTTTTGCCTTTAGCCAGGTTACAGTGCTGGTCAGTGGAGGGGGAGATGAGAGGGGAGTCCCTCTTCATCTGGTAAAGATCCTGCCGTTGGGCAGCTTTCACGCTCCACCGGCTGATCCTTCCAGGAAGTAGGGGGGGGGGTATAAGGTGCCCCCCACAGAGCCCCAGCATGTATGCTGAGTCCAAATCAAAGGGGGCAGTCTGTCCTTAGCCTGGGGGAGAGTGAGTCTGCTGTATGTGTGACCAGAGAGACATAGGTAATAAGACTGCTTGTCACACTGCAGATGCCTGTATTTTTGACAGTGCATGTTTCCTTCTCTTCTGCTTGAACTGCACAGTATTAACCCCCTAAACTGAGGCCTTGTGTAGTTGGGTCACATTTATGCTCATGATTTTGGCAGCTTTCAGGAGAGACCACAGGAAGTCATGCAGCCATCTCGATTATTCCTATTAAGTGCATTAGATCAAACAGATTTAAGACTGCAATCATACATGCTGTTGCAATGTTGGCAGTTATTGTCGTTGTGGTAACTTGAGGTTAGTTGGTTAGGGCTAAAAGGGCAAGTTAAGGCTGGAATGGATTGCTAGTCTCAAGTGCAATGACTAATAAAACTGTTTCTTTTGTGATTCTGTTTCAGTTGGTAACCAGTGAGTCCAGCCCTTCAGATGAAGAGCCTTCAGTTCCGGAGCATTGCCCCTAAGGCCCCAGCTGTGGTGCCCTCCCCCTCCCCTGCGGTCCTGTCCTGCCAGCCTCCCTCTGCCCTCCCTGAGGCTACCACTGCCTCCAGTCCCAAGTCCATCATTGTGCCCACTCAAAACTATGCACTGATGCAAATAGCAGGTCAGGATGGCACTTTCTCTCTGGTGGCACTGCCCCCTTCTGTCTCCTCTCAAACACCACAGCAGCAACAGCAGCAAACCCAATCAATTCAAAAGAATCTCAAGTTGCCCATTCCCAGATACCAGCCAGTGAGAAGCAAGGGGACCACAGATAAGGTTAAATCACCACCACTAGCTGCCAGGGTGCAAACAGCTTCCAAGGTTGCTGTGACAGTGCAGACCAAGTCAGTGGGGTGTGGAACATCAACAGGGATGAAGAAAAAACAGGAGTCCAAAAACACAAAGGAAATCCTCGTGCCCAAAGAGGAGCCTTCAGAGCAGCTAATTCTGATTGACCCAGGCTCGTCTGACATCTCTGTCACTGCTCTACTCCCAGACAATGCTGTCCTGTACCCAGGTTCTCAGTTAGAGCGAGCATCAGATGGCTCGGAACGACCTGATACAACTGGCCTTATTCAAAACCTCCAGTACCCCCCTGCTGCTGTCAAAAGTTCCACAGGCAAATCTCCGGAGGAGAGTAAGACTACAGTGAGGCTGTGCCAATCTAAGCCTGCTGCAGCCCAGCCCCAGAGCAGTATCACTGTCCTGTCCCCAGCCATCTTCAGCAAAGCAGTCCAGATTATCCCATCCCCACCTAAGGGTAAACTGCCCATCATGCCCTACTCTAAAATGAAGAGCACCCTTATTCCAGCTGCCAAACTCAATTGCAATTTGTCCCCTGAGAAGACCAGTTTCTCTGGCCAGGCAGGACTTGCCAGCCCCTTAGATCCTACATCCAACACCCTTGAGACATCTGAAGCCTTGGGTCACAACCAGATGCCAAACTCTACTCTACAGCCACAGGCCAAGACCACACTCATGCCTGTTTTGGGAACCCTCCAGAAACCACCTGGCAAGAAGAGGGGGAGAAAGAGAAAGACAATGGAAGACATCTTGGCGTTTGAGGCCAGAAAGAAGAGGTCCTTGTCTTTCTTCCGTAGAAGGGTCCCAGAGAAACCGCCAGCAGTTGTTCCAGGCTCCAAGCAAAAAGAAGTTGATATTTCAAAGAAGTACCGCAGCATTCGACCCAAGCCCATGTTGGTTATGGAGACAGTTCCTCAATTGGTCAGTTTGCCTGCCATTACCCCAGATGGTCAAGAACAGGAGCTTGTACTTGGTCATCAGCTCCCTACGAGTACCACAACCAAGGCCCTGGACTGTCCTCCCCAACCAGCCCCATTAACCCTCCACCTGAGAGGTGCCTCCCATCCAAGAGTGTTCATAGGCAGCCGTCCACTGCACCGTTGCCCCACCTGCAGCCGCTGTTTCCAGTTCAAGCATCATCTCCAGAGCCATATGAACAGTCACACCAACAGTCGGCCCTACGTCTGCCCAGTCTGCCGCAAAGCATACGCTCACTCCGGCAGCCTGAGCACCCACATGAAGCTTCACCATTCTGAGGTACGCCCACGTCGGTCTCTAGGCTGTGAGTTCTGCGAGAAGGCCTTTGGATACGTGGGAGTTTACTTCAGTCATCTGAGAGAGGTCCACAAAGTGGTGCTGACTGTGGAGCCGTCCATTAGCCATCATGAGGATGATGTGTCTGTGGAAGGGTAAGATTATTATCGATTTAGATAACTCAACTCGTGCACATACTTTATTGTGACCATAACCTTGTACCAGGATTTATGCACAGATGTTAATATATAGATTAGCGGTTTAAGATACTGATTGTTTGCCTAACCAGATAACTTTATCCAAACAATCATAACAAAGTTGTAAATAAGCGATATTCCTTCCTTTTCAGGGCTAACTCACCAGAGCCATCAGATGAGCAAGATCGTGAAGACCCCGTGGAGCTGCAGATTAAATGTGGCCGCTGCCAGACCATCACTCCCACCTTTGCTGACATGAAGATGCACCTGCTACATGTGCATGGGGAGGAAGTCCAGGTACGACCTCACGATGGCCAAGCACTGCGGGGTGGCCGCGAGGCTGAGAATGAGCTGGTAAAACATGCTGCCCATTACTGGCGACAGCTCAACGAGAAGCGTAACCTGGTTAAGTGTGGCAGCTGCGACGAGGAGTTCTTCTCCTTCTCCAAGCTCAAGAGGCACATCCTGTCCCACCACCGTGGAAGGGAGGGGGAGGACAGTGGGACCCTCTCATCACAAGATAGCGGTGGCGGCCTCGGGATCCTTGCTGCTGGTATGGCCTTTAACTGTGTGCTTTGCAATGAAGTTCTGGATACTAAAGAGGGGGTTATGGAGCACTGGAGGAGTCGGCACCACTGCGAGCAGCCCAGCCTGCTGTGGGACGCTTTGAGCTCGTACTCTGGCCAAGAGGAGGGTGAGGCGGATCTGGACACTCCTGCTCCAAGTCCACACTATCCAGCCTAGCCCTTTGAGAGCATGGAGTCCTTTGCTATGGCTCCTCCTCACACACACTCAGTCCTAACAATCAGCAGCACAGGGATGAAGAGTTTCTCTTATGTCTTTTAGCACAAGTTTCATCTTTCACCAGTTGAGGTATTTGACTCCAAAAGTCCAAAAGGAAAAAAAAAGAAAATATTAAGCTAATGGTGAAAATTGACCTTTGTGTTACAATTCATAAAGGAAATTCTCTCTAGGTCAGAGAATCCAGTTTTATAGACAATATTTTTTTTTATGTTATTGTTTTGATTGCACTGTTCTGTTTTGGATGTTTTGTTTAGAGGTATGTATTTAATATCCTGTTGGATCTTTTTTTTCTACTGCTTATTTAAATGTTATTAGAAGGGTAATTTATAAACTGTCTGACACAGTAAAACTGTTAAAAGGTAATTTCACCCAAACACTTACCTCTTGTGACATCTAGTATGCAAATAATTTGGTGCTCAGTTTTTGAGATATCTGTATGTGATTTCTGCCTCCACCCCAATGAAAAAATACTTTTTAAAAGTTCAACAAAATCCTCTAGCAGTGTCCCTATTACTCTGTGGAGAGAATTTGTTTTGCCGGTAATTTTTTATCTTGATTTGATAGTTATAGTAGAGCGATGACAAGTAACGAGAGGTCACTGGCAACATTTCAGTTCATGGTCGGTGTCTTAACCCGTCAACCACAGCTCCACATTTGTAAAAGGCAATTTTAATTTTGAGCAATAGACCTCCATTTTATAGTGATGGAAGCAGAAATCTCAAAGATGAAACTACCCAATCTGCATGGCTGGATACCACTGTAGGAAAGTGAGGAAATATGTTTTTTTTTTGTTTTTTTTTGGGTGGACTGACCCTTTCAAATACTGAGAAATGTAAATCTCATAACTAGGGCACACTGTCTACTATCACACTGGCTGACAATTTATCTATTAGCCTTGGACTATTACAGGTTAAAAGAAATCAGACGTGTACCCGATTCTGTGATGTAATATTGCTCCTGTAATTGAAAATCGATATTTTCAGTCATGACTTGAACTTGAACTCATAGTCTGATTAAGGGCAGTATTAGGGTCCTCTGTAAACCTGGACCCATGAAGGAACACTTAACTCTTAACCAGCACCCAAGTGACATCCTTGTGGCCTTCTGAAAAAGAAAATCGGTGTTCATGCGTAATGTGGCTTATCGTCAGTGTGGTCCTCTGTAGGCCAAGTTCTATCTCCTTGACTTGTTGATTAATGCCTATATATGTATTCTGTGATATGCCAAGGGTCTTTACACTAGTGATTGTAGAAGTGAGTTTTGCATTTAAGCGTTTTAACCACTGACGGAATACCTTTTGTTGACTTAGTAAATACGCAAAAGAAACCATTGAATTGCCTACCTGTTGTTGCCAGCTCATGTACGCACCTGTGGAATTGTGTGCACCCAGACTCTATTATTAGAGTTAGCATAAACTGTTGTCAAGTCCAGAAAAATATGCTATTTTATACTCTAGATTAATACAGAGGTCTTTTAGTATATTTAAGCTTGTTGTTGGTCCTTAAGGAATCAGCACTAAGACATTTGTTATGTTTGCTTCTTCTAATTTTGGGGATGCTTAATGTCTTTTTTCTTGATTGGGAGGCCATTACTACTTGCTAACATTTGTCTGTGTTTATCTTTCATATGAAGAAAAAAAAAAAACATCACAGGGTCAAAGTGAATGTACCTGAATGTTTTAAAAACCCTACCAAAAGTATATGTATGCTATATAGACTAATTCTATAGATAAAAAATATATAGATATATTGAGAAAATATATATATTTACATAGAGTAACTAGTGAAGCAGCTGCTTTGTTCTGTCACAGGGGAGAGGAGGGTAACAAGAGATGAATATATCATTGCCACAACAGGCAACAAAAGCCATGTAGAGCTGTCCCTATGTTTCTGACACAAAACGTAGGACTTTGAATGAAGGGCAAAGCACTGATGTGTACATGTCGCACTCACTGGGTAAACTACGGTATGCTGTACTACTGTTCTTTTAATGCCATGTTTGAGTGTTCATCAGTGAACTGTCCTTTGTTTTCAAGCCCTCAACACAAAGCAGGAAGTGACAGAATAAGGTTCAGACTCTTCTTTCCTCAGTTAGATGAGAAACATACATGACTGTCAGCACAAGTCGGAAAGTTTAAAAATCCCATATTTGGTGATATAATGTTGTTTGGCTCACTTATGTTGACTGTGTCCAAAAAAAAAAAGAAGAGTGAAAGTGTTTGTGCTTGTGACTGTTTGTGTACCTGAAAAACCTGATGTTTATGAGAATAAAGATATGCTTTGTTGACTTTATGACTGTATTGCTTTCTTAGAACACTCAAATACATCTTACAATTACAGTGTTATGGTTCCAGGAAAGCTGGAGATTTAAGTTCTTGGAAACTGAAACACTTAAAATACTGAAGGGGATAACCCTAATAATTATATTATCTTTGATGAATTGTTTGGTCTATAAAATGTGTAAAAAAGTATGTAAATTGCCTATTATTTTCTAAAGCCCAATAAGACCCCCAATTGTTTGTTTTGTCCAACCAACAGTTAAAACCCAGAAGATACAGTTCACAACAAAAAGACCAAGAGTCTACAGTAACGCTAGTGGTGCTATACTTAACTAATAGTGATTCTACTTAAATGATAACATCAGCATGCTAATGTTAAAGGTATGCCTCTATGTTAAAGTGCCATTTTTCTACAGTAGCCCAGAATGAACAAACTGAACATTGGCTTTTTCACAAGTTTCTCCTACAAGCTTGTAAGGCCAGTGGTATTCAGTTAGTTGCAATCTGCAACTTCACCACTAGATATCACTAAATCCTTTACACTGGTCCTTCAAGCAGGTATAATGTTGATCATGTTCACCATCATAGGTTAGCATCTTAGCATGGTAACATTTGCTAATTAGCACTACACACAGCTGAGGCTGTTGGGTATGTCATTTTTGCAGGTATTTGGTCATAAAACAAACTACTGGACAAATGAAAAATTTCTGTGGGGGCATGAATATGTTGAATATGTTACCTCTGTGCTCCTCCCCTCCCAACAGACCTTCCATCTGTCTGCTTTAGCATAATCAAACCTACAGATAAGTGTGCAAATGTTCCTACCGTTTGGTTTTAATGCACATCAATGTATCTCTTTTACTAAATAGACCACGCATGATCCAGGTTACAAAGACTAGTTAAGAAATGCAACATGATAGTGGGTTGGGGACCATGTTTGAAAGACTGTGAAAGTTCAGATAAAGGTAAGGTTTCCATGTTCTGAGAGGCGCATAAAAACAATAGCTGTATGCCTTGTGACGGCTTCATATTTAATGAATGGAGCTGACTTTAGTTCTGATCTCCGTGTTCCCTCTGCTTGTCTTTTCTGCTTTGCAAGATGCATTTAGAGAAACAGAAACACTAAATCACTCTTTTCAAATTGAACAACAATACATTTCTATTAGTTTCCATGCCATCAGAACCAAAAGCTCTCTACTCTGCTGCAGGCCCAGCCCTGGTAGTCATTGCTACACCGGTGTGGAATGCAGGTCCTCAGCTCTAATTGATTTGAAGGCACATGACCCTACATCAAAGGTCAAAGGGCACTTCTGCTGTGATTTCTACTCAAGCAACAGCCCGAGAGTGAGAGCAACTCCCCGACACAAAACATCCTCGGCTAGGTTTGCGTCAACTCCTCAACTTCTTCAAACTCTTTATAAAAGGACTCAAAGGTTTCAAATGAGAGTGACTCAACTTCAGGTGGCTTTCAGCTCCGGTGGAACACAGATAAAGCTGCGACATCAGTACATATCGGGGCCCAATCTAGCGTCGCCATCGCACCACGTCGCAGGCGCAGATAAAAAGGAAAGCGCTATACGGTGATGCATATTTCCCTTTAATCAGAGCTAACATGTACCACAGCCGTCACACTGCACTCCCACCTCACTGTGGCTCTCAGGGGGACAGGGGAGATCAAAGCCACCCCCCCGCTTGTACATGATCAGTGGGAAAGAAGGAGAACTGGGGGCTGCTCTCTTTCTTTCCCTCGTTCTCTTTCTTTCTTTCTTTCTTTGGGTCTCGGAGCTACACCCCCTTCCAACACTACCGTGGCCCTGGAAGTGTTGAGAAAGGTGAGGGACAAACAGCTACACTGCTTTTTTAATCCAGTTCAGAGAGAAATGTCGAGCATGTTGATGTACTAGTGCCAGAAGAAATCTACTTACTTCACGTGTGTCTCTCTTTCATGTAACCCTGACGCACAGATCTAGCAGGGAGGAAACAAGACCGCTAAACAACATGCAGGGAGACGTGGAATAACAAAACTGGCGTCACTGGAAGAATGCCGGGGGAGATTTATAGGACAGTAAAAATGTGACCCACACTGACCACAGATGTTCTCGAGAACAACTTAGGTGGGGTGTAATGTGAGTGCAACATGCAATCTTTTGGCTAACGGAAGCTTGACTCCCACCTTCTCACTTCTCACTGTTGACGCTCCGTTGCCAGTCTGTCTTAATACACTAACATCCGTGAAGCTGCTGTCGGCACGTGCAATATGTTGGTGATACGTGTGCACATTCATCAAAGCGATTCTATGGTTTCATCAAAGATTTATAAGCCCTCCTGGATGTCAGGACTTAGATGTACAAATCGGTAATCCCACATCTATGAACTCTGCCTCCATCTCTCTCTCTCTCTCGATCTGGAGATGTGATCCGCCCTTCCCTTCCCTGCTGCCTCTTGGTCTCAGGTTTCAAAGCGTCCCGTCTCTCCTCACCCTCCCAGATTAGTCATCTAATGAGCAGCAGGGCTGATCAGGTGAATAATTGATGACAGGCGGCTGGAGAAAGGCATCGATCCGAGCAGGGCTGTGGCTCTAAATGGAGCAGGGAAGGAGACACCTCAGGAGGATAAGCAGGCACAGGTACATCACTGCAACACTCTGTGCTGTACGGGCTGATTGGGATTCAGAGTCAGTGCTTGTGTCAGTTTCATGAAGTGGAAAAGGATAAAGAGCCACCTCTGGAGGACATGAGCCTCACCAGTTTTTCCCAAAAGGATCCCCATATAATGAAACTTTGTTTCACCATATTATGGAAGAATGTTTGCTGTCATTAGGGACCTTGGTCTGAGACTCTTTAGGCCCGGGGCATATCCATAAAGCCATCCAATCAGATGTAATGGGAACCGCAATTCATAGTTAGGTTGTGGTCTTATCTTACAGATCAATATCATAGTAGGCGATGTGTGTTTGGATGTCAATTTGCAAAAACTTGTCTTTGACATTTATAAATTAAATTCAGTTCAATTCAATTTTATTTGTATAGCACTAATTCATCTCATCTCAGGACACTTTTCAAATAGAGCAGCATAAAGAATGTGCTTGAGGTCCAATTTATTAATTTCTCCCGCTTCCTCTCCTGACTGGACTCTAGAGAGGGACGTATGGGTGGCACAACACAACAGTCCTCTACTGCTATGTATTTGCTAAACCATGCCTACTTTTAAATAACGCTTATAATTATACATTGTCCATATATTTATTTTAGCTCAGAAATACTGTATGCTACACACATTATTCCTAATATGCAGCCAATATAAAGTCTAATAATACTCATAATGCTCATAACCAGTTATTTTGTACATGAGCTAGGGGACATGAATATACACCAATCAGTCATAACATTCTGACCACTGACAGGTGAATTGAATAACACTGATTATCTGGTTATCATTCTACCTGTCAGTGGGTGGGATATATTAGGCAGCAAGTGAACATTTTGTCCTTAAAGTGTTAGAAGCAGGAAAAATGGGCAGTGTGAGGATTTAAGCGACTGGGTCAGAGCATCTCTTGTGGGGTGTTCCCGGTCTG